CCATTATAACAACTAGGAATGTTTTCCTTTTGATCAGGTATTTCTTTATACAGCTGCTTTGCTCGTTGATAAGAGTGGACAGCTTCGTCATAGGTTTCATTTAGAACTTGTGCATCAGCATAACGTCTGAAAGTGTGAGCTTGACCAAGTTTATTATCCAATGAGATGAATAGTTCTTCTGACTTCTTCAATAATCGGATTTCTTCATCCAATGCATGCTTTGTTAAATGATATGATGATATCTTCGCATCAGCCAAAATGAAATACAGATTTGCTCGTTCATCATCTGTAGTTGGAATCATTTTTTCTAAGAATTTGACTGCTTTCACATTTTCCCCCATTTCTATAAGAAATTGAGCCAATATGAAATTGATCGAGATTGAAGATGACGAAGAAGAGTATGATGTTTTTGACTGAAGATATTGTATATAGTCATTCACGATTTTCTGTTCAAAATTTGTTGCATGCATTTTTATGATCCATCGACCACAGTCACCCTGAAACTGCTCATCAATTTCAAAGGTTGCATTTAAACCAAACAGAGTTTCTTTCTCATCTGGATATTTACTATACTTCGATATATCAGCTAAAATCATTGATGGTACTTGATCTAAATCAACTGTGATTTCAAATAAAACAGGCAAATTTTCAGGTGAGGATTCAGCAAAAGCCTCAGCTACTTTTCGATCTAATGTAGTTGATAGAAAACCACGCATAGCAATATATTTATTTCCACTTATACGAAGTCGCTCTCCTTCTTCTCGTAAGAGTTGTTGACCACGATAGAGTGTGAGCACAGTCTTTCCCTGTTTACGTCGAAATCGTTGGGATAATTTAGCTAGGTTCGTACAGAGATGAGCAACATAATAACGAAAGTGATACAACTCTTCTGCATCACCATTTCTAATTGCATGATTGATTAGATTATGTAAAAAATTGCATTTTGTATATTCTCGAATGGAATCTTTTGGTCGATATTGATTTTCTAAGTAGTTGAGATACTTTTGATCTGCTTCATAATCGTCACCCAGATATTCTCGACATCGTTGAATAAAATCAAATTTAGACTGTGTAGTATGAATGTCTTGTTCCAAAAAGAGTTTCTGTTGTAGCAACTGAAACCATATGAATTCAGTGTTGCTCGTCGATAGATCCCAAGTTGATCTCTGTGAAACAGTGTTATAATAACTAAAAGCATTCAAGTAGTTTAAAGTTGTTTCGAGTGCAAGTCTCAGTTCATATCGTTCACTAGAAATTGATTTCACCTTGGGACGAAAATCAGTTTTTAGAGACTGATACTTGGTCTTTTCGTAGCCATCACAATAAATATGTACAGATTGAATGTATCTCAGATGATTAACTCTAATAAGAATATCTCGAGCTACATGACCGGATACGATGAGAACAACAGAAGTATGTTTGTCTGTTTCGATATAATTTAAAAATTCAGTTTCCAAAACATAGAATAACACATTATTTGTTACCTTTGAGATCATCCTTTTTGTCTTTTCATGCTCGAAATCTGAGTTCATCTTTGGATCATACCAGGTGAGTATTACGGTTGAATCTTGTGTATTTGAACTAACCAAGCTTTGTTCCTTCAGAACCGTTGCTGAGTGGCCTGTTTGAGAGGGGTAGGTATTTCCCATTTGTCGTTGATAGCTAAGAATAATGTATATTTCAATTTCGTTTATTTATTTCTTGCTCTCTATAGAATGCTAAATGAATAGAGTGCAGCTATTGAAGTTGTTTTTTCTTTATCTAAAACGGCAATATTTTTGTCTTTCCTTTAGCCGATTTGGTCGATTGGATTAGAGGAGCGAAAGAGAATCAAATCGCTTTTTTTTTCTATGCACATACAAAGCAATCTCTAAAAATAAACAAGTTGGAATTTTCCAACTTGATCACGTACAAATGGTAAATGAGTAATTAATAATCAAGTCAATCGTTAATGACTATATGAAATACGAATTTTAACTTAACTATAGTCCAAAAATTTTAGATGTTTTCGATTGAAGATACTATGCAATAGTATTCACAGTTTTTAGTTATCATTCAGTATTGTATCAAATATGGAGTTACACTAATCACAAATCTTTTTATCTGATAAAGTTTTTATATTCATTTCTGAGTGAACTTCATTATATTAAGCATAGATAATAACCATTTTAGGTTTGTCCTTCAATACGACACCACAGGTCAGTCTACAATGTGCCAAGTCAATTCTTGCATGACTTTGTAGTATTCAATCTGCATTTATAAAAACGTTATGAATCTGACTTCAATAGGCCTCAATTTGGAGAAATCATTCCTTTCAAAATTATAGAGAATTCAATGCTCTACAAAATCATGGATTCCAATAAGTTAGAACTCAAAAGCTACAAAAACATTTTTTTAAATACTATCATTTACATGAGATGATATTTTTTAAAATAATCGTTTTTTTTGCGGTTTTCTTTATTTAAAATGCAACAGATCTTGATGATTTGTAACAATGTGTTGAAAGCAAAGCAAATCGGGCATTTTGCAGAGCAAGCTTCGTTCTACAAATTGGGGTATAAAAACACGTTCCTAGAATTTGAATTGAGGTGGTTTTAATCAAAATATAAAAATAGACTACATAAAATATTCTGTACAAACGTCATTTTTGGTCTCCATGAAAGGTTTGCTCTCAATAATTCGATTTCAATTTAGAAAAAAAAATCTGAATACACATTTAGAGAGAGCATCGAATTCTGATGCCAATTGACTACTTTTCATTTTCTCAAGTTACTTCTAAGTGGTTGAAAAATGAGTAGACATTTTGTGCCAAGATTTTTGCAACAGGGGTTATTTTGATAATAATTTACAAATATTAATAGCTATAGAATTTTGGTTTTCACCACTCAATAGCTCTTTTGGAAAGTTTCAAAACTGTATATTTTCCAAATTCGAAAACCATTGATCACTTGAGACATACTTCGACATCTTAGTCTCGAAGCACAGTTCCTTCACAGGTTAGGCCCTTTTTAACCCGTTTTCAGTTGAAAAGCAATGACTTGAACCGAAACCCACAGCATATCCGAAATCAGCGTGAAAAGTGAGCCCATTCATATGCGTTTCAAAGATTTCTGTGAGAATTGTTTTCCTACACTGTAAACTAGAAAATAATTTATAGAGTATAGCAGAAGATATTCTAGAAAAGTCCATATGAATTCATCGACGAATTTCTACTTTCTTGAAAATTCGATATTCAAGAAAATAGAAATAAGAAATTCGATTTTCTACTTAGAAAATCGAAAGTGAATTCATATGGACTTTCCTAGAAATTCGCATTTTATTTAGCAATTCGAGCATTTTCTAGAATTTTTCATTTATTTTTTATTTTCATTTGATAATGAAATCTCTTTTATTTATTGAATACAATAAATAAATAAATTTAATTTTAATTTATATAAATAAATAATTTTAATTTTAATTTAAGCAAATTCATAAACATTGAATTTCATTAATGCATTAAACAATATAAATAATTAATTTTAAATTTAATTTTAATCAAGATGAATTCGTAAACATTGAATTCACTAAATACATCAAATAAAATAAAGAAATAAATAATTCATTTTAATTTTAATAAATTTATAGACATTGTATTCATATACATGCAACCAATAAAGTAAAGAATTCATTTTAATTTTATTTGTAATAAATTCATAAATATTGAATCTACATTAATGCATTGAATAAAATAAATAAATAGATAATTTTTAAGTAAAATCATTGACATCAAATTCACATAAATATATCGAATAAAAGAAACAGATAAATGATCTTAATTTAAATAAATTTATAAACATTTTATTCACTATAAGCATCATATAAAATAAATAGATAATTTTAATTTTAATAAATCCATAAGCATTCAATTCATTCTCAATGCACCGAATAAAATAATGAATGTACAATACTATCGGCCGACTTATATACACGAATGAACAATAACCGTTATAATGGTCATGGTTCAAATGACTTTCGAGCGAGTTGCTTTCATTTTTGACTTTTTCTAGAATCTATATTGATTTTCTAACTCCTTTAAAAATCATTTTTCTAGAAAATCAAATTGAATTTCTATAAATTAGAAAATCAGGCATTTTATAAATTTTCAAAATTCTAGTAATGAATTATGGAAGTTTAAAAATGCTGCAGCTTTTTTAAAGTCGATTTTCTAAAAAGTAGAATTTCAAAAAAATTTACAGTGTAGAGCAAAATGACCCTATACCTCTTCCCGTTTAGGTTCATGAAAAAATAATTTCTCTCAAAGTAGTGTTTTTATAGTTTTGATTTTGTCATTTTGCTTTGGTTCAAAATTGGAGGAGCTTCAGCATTTCGTTCCAAGCGATAAATGATATTTTTGAGAGAACTCATTTTTATGTGAAGTCTGAGGAAAGAACACAAGGCCAATTTTTCATAGAAAGAGATTTTCTCAAAAATCTTTGAAACGCATATGAATGAGTTTGTTTTTTTCACGTTGATGCCAAATAGCATATTAATTATGGTTCAAATTGTTGATTTCCAACTGAAAATGGGCTAAAATGGAGTCAAACAAGTGTAGGAACTGTGCTTCACGATTAAGATGTCAAGATATGTTTCAAATATTCAGCGGTTTTCGACTTTGAAAAATATATAGTTTTAAAATTTTCCAAAAGAGCTATCGAATGGTGAGAAACCAAAACTCTATAGCTATTAATACAGTTATAATAATATTTACAATTGATAGATTTAGAGTTTTATCATTATGATCTGTTCGTGCGCATATACCATATCTCGTGACCTAACCGACGAAGGTTCTCTATTGTCTCTTGTTGTCTGTGTCATAGTTGTTATGATTTCGATATCAGGAGGACGTTGGTTTTGTTGTGTTTGTGCTATGTTACTTCCACAGGGATTCGTTGGATCTGTTGTTGCATCATATATTGGAAGTTCTTTTCGTAGACGTGAGTGTTTTCTACCGTACAACCAGTAGACAACTGGTCCAATGGCAAAATTCCAGCAAAAAAACTGAATTATTGTCCACTTCGTGGCGAACGCCATCAGAAATAGACACATAAGAATACCTATGATGGGACAGATAAGTGTTCGACTTGGAAATGTAAATCTACGATTATTGATATATTGCTGGGCTAGAATTTCGTCAATGTCGCTTAGATCAGATACTACTTCGTCGTTGTTCTGTGGTTTGTATGTCCAATGCATAAAAATAATACCGATATGAACCATAATAAATGCAAAAAGTACCCCAAATGATGTAACATCGACTAGCAAATCCATGGGCAGAAATCCTGCAACGGCTGCACAAAAAATTCCTAAATAAAAAGTAATTACGAATGAATATATTCTAGAAAAGTATAGGACTTTTCCTACCAACCTATTACAATACTAGCCCACAATGGTGAGCCAGCTAGTTTATTTGTCTCGTGAATATTACCAGTGGTTGTTATTGTTTGCTCAACCGTGGCGCTGATAGTGTTGATTCTAGTCGTGCTTGTTGTTGTTGTAGACGAAGAAATAATATTATTCTCCGCTGATTTTTTTTTCTTCCATACTTTTATTTTGCTGAAGACGGATGGCAGCAATCCATCTTTCGACATTGAGTAGAAAATTCTCGATTGTCCATAGAGAGTGACTAGTATCACTGATGTCAACCCCAAAATCGCACCAAGATGAACTAAAATTTCTAGCCATTTCAAACCTATAACTTTGCATACTTGTCCTATCGGATTTGTTACTTTCAGATCTTTGTAGTTAACTACGCCAAGCATTACCGAGGCGATTCCCAGATAAAGAGTTGTCGCTATGCCCAGTGAAGTTAAAATACTTAGTGGTAAACGTTTTGCTGCCTTTGTGGTAGCTTCCTGAGCAGCTGTTGTTATCTCATCGAATCCAATAAATGCAAAGAAACTGACTATAGTAGCACGAAGCAATCCATTGATGCCATAGGTGTTTCCACCTTCACTTTTCGGTAAGAATGGATGATAATTTTTCGGATCAATATATTTGATACAAACACAAATAAATATTAGCAGAACGCCAATTTTCAGAATGACAATAATACTGTTGAGGAGAGATAAAGCACCGACATCATAAACAATGATAGCTGTAAGAAAGAGAATGATGATAACAGCTGGTAAACATATCCAACTGCCTGTAACATAAAAATTTTGAGCGGTAACATTCCAGCTGATTGGAGCTGAAAGCAGACGATGATCAATGCTTGTCGAAGAAACTAACTCAATAAATGTTCCGACATAGTCCGCCCATGAAACACCAACGGCTGAAGCTGCACCCATATACTCGAGACAGAGATTCCAACCAACCAGCCACGCACTAAATTCCCCCATTACTGTATAGATGTAAGTGTAAGAGGAACCACTTGCAGGAATCAGGGAAGCCATTTCAGCGTATGATAAAGCTGCAAAAAAGGCTGGAAGCATTCCAATTAGCAATGAGAGGATCTCAGCTGGGCCTGCAAAATTTGAAGCAGATTCGCCCACCAGAGTGTATATGCCAGCACCTAATAAACAGAAAATGAACTGCTAAGTTGTAATTCAATTCAAAGAATAATTTTGCTGTTCGATTGCTCTTACCAATCATAGCTCCCAATCCTAATGTGTTTAAAGCAAAAAAACTCAATGAACGAGTGAGTTCGCCGTTATTCGTTTCATTGATTATATCGCGTAGTGGCTTTCGTTGGATTAATTGAGAGCCCATTTTTCCGAACGCAGTTGCGTCAGTGTTGCTGTGACTTTCAGGATTTTTGAATATTAGACTGCACCACCACTGTTTAAAAATAGTTGTGTGACATCTACGGGAGTGTATTGTCCATTTATAGATGAAAAGACAACCAAAGTTAGAAAAAGCCAACCGTTCACAAAGGAAGAGTAGGACGATAAAATAATAGAGATAACTGCTATGATGAATGGCTTTATAGGTCTTTCTTTATATGAAAGTAGATAAATAAAACATATCCCCGAGGGAGTTCTTGTGTATTGTTTTTGTTTGAAAGAACATCAAAAGCTGCAATGCTTATAAGAGTCCTTTTTTGATAAAGCTTTATTTTTATTATTATATTGATAAACAATCGTATAAGATGAGCGCAATTTGCTGAAGCTCTTCAGTAATTGAACTCGCCAGGCTTCTTTTCTCCAGAAAGATAAGAGTAAAAAAGGGACCTTCATACGGATTGTATTCGGACATGCTCTTTTAAACGAAAAAAAAAACAATCAAGCACATGGAATGAACAGCCACAGAGAATTTTTGGAGACGCGATAAGCTACTTTTCGATCGTTTTGTTTAGTTCATATCTACCTTACACATGAGGATAAGAGCCTGGAAATTTTGCTGTAGATGTCCTTTTACAGTTCCAAAATGTCCTCAAAGTTTTATGGTATTTAGATGTCCCTGGACTGAGATCGGTTTTAGAGAGGGAGGGGAGCTTAATGATCCCATTCTAAAAATTAAACATCAATGTGTAGATATAGCAGATAATTGTGATAAATCAGAACGACAAAATGAATCCGTTATTAATTATCAGCTTATTACAACTGATGTTGAAGATACTCTTGAAAGCTTTATTCGAATTATAGATAGCTTAAAAGCTAATGATTCATTAGTTAACACTTTTTTGTCACACGATGTTCAATATTTATGGTCTGATAAATATAAATTACATCCACCTCGAGTACTTAATAATCCAACAACAACTATGCGATGCCTTCCTGTTTATGAAAATTATCGAGATCTTTGAACTCTATAATTTCAGGTTGGGCTCACATCCAAAAATGTTTCATTTCATATTGTTAGTAAAGAATGGAATTATTGATATAATCATGGATTCTGACCCTGTCCTTAAAATGAAACACTTCAATTAAGTTTCTTTTTCCGTAAATGGAAATATCGTTGATTAGCTTTTTTTTTCTCACTATTTTGTTATATGTGAAAGTTCGATTTTTAACTTGTTGTTATTTGGCTATTTTTTTTTGTTACTCTGTTGTCGTGAACAGATGAAACTGTTCACTACTAAGGGTTGGGGGTGTTTTGGTAGTGACGCTATTTATAAGCTACTACCTTCTCCTTCTTATTGATTTCGTATTCATATTATATATGAATTGTTGTGCTTAAAAACGAGAATGAAGATCTATCTACAAAGAATTAGTCTTCATCCACAGACTAACGGGGGTTTCTGAAGAACACACAACAGAATTTCAAAGTTAGAAGTATCTCTACAAAATCGTCCTTTTTCAGGCCTGTGTGTTCGTTTTGTTTTTGTGAAGAATCTTTTGCAAATTTTATCTTCATCGTAGGATTTAGACACTGATGTACTAGAAGGAATAGGTTTTTCAAAACCTAACCAATTGAATCTTGTAGATATCACAAAAACATGTAGCATGCAACGAAAACTGTTTACTATGAAAGCAATATCTTGAGCATATCCTTCTCCAAAACCATGTTGAAGAGAAGCCTTCCATTCGAATTTCCTTAAGCAATTTCTCTGTGCAGTAGCATACATAAGTTCTAGTTGCGTCAAATTCTGCCAATGCTGAAATAATACAATTCTGAATAGTGTTTTTCTACGTTGGAACTCATTAAATGTATTGCTAGTAGTTTATTATGAACGATAGGTGGACAGAATTGCACCAAAATATTCAATAGCTGCTATTCATTTCGTGCAGAACTTTCGAAGATTTTTGTTGGGAGGAAAAAATCACTATGATACAATGACAATGATTCCTTAGCTTATGAGGGAACATTTCTGAACTGTCTGCTCTGTTTAGATTTACATTATGCCCATATGTACGGAATCATTACAATAGAATAATCGTTAATGGGTTCATGCCCTTGTTGAGATTTGGTCGAAATTTCTAGGTTTTAGCGGTTGTTTTCCGTATGGTGTTACATTTGAGTAAAATCTTATTTAAAATTTTGACGTAAATCTTTGTTAACATGAAGGCCTTGCTATTAACTCATGTACAAAGCTTTATCATTTTTAGACATGTCATCTTTGAAATACAAATTTTTCAAAAAAAACTTGTCAGCGCAGCTTCCTGGGACCTGAAGTATGGAACTCACGTATATCCTTCCAATTTGTTATTCTAATGGATTATTTATAAATTGAAAAATAGTTTTTTTTTCCAAATAATTATGAATGGATTAGAATACTGTATCGAATCTCAAGCCTTTTGTACACGGCTGCTGAGGTCTGTAATGGTGGCCTGTCTGTAATAGGAGTATGTTTGTAAGGGGGGAGGGGGAAGCCGGAGAACCTTGACCTTAAAACCTACACTCACTATTTTCTTCGAAAGTATACGTGAGTTCCACAAAAGTACTGTTCTGTGGATATGTACAATCTATACCATTGATATTTTGAAAGACTCCTTTGCCAGTGATCAAATGTTCAAAAAAGATGAAATCTAATGTAGGCGGCGTTAGCAATATGCTCTATTGAATGATTATAACCCGTTGAAGGTGTCTCAAACCATTCGTATTGAAGTCGAAAGAAACCGACTTTACTCCATCAAACATGTCGAATCCAAGTAGTAGTTCCTGGTCTGTTTGAATCAGGAACTGGTCCAGGGTTTCTCGCTTGTCTCTCAAGAATAATCGCACATACTCTTTTTGATAACCTCGAGAAGAAGATATAGAATAAATCGTGAGCCAACGATTGCTCAAAGTACTTCTGAAGTTCTCTATTGCCTGAAGGAAGAAAATATCATTTTGCGATTTGAAAGCAACGTTAGAAGATAACATAGATCTGATTCTTACCATGTGATAGAGCATATCAAGTGCTGTGCAAAATTCAAACGAGAGCATCTGAAACGCTTCCCGAGCGAATATGGGCACTCCAAAAATTGGAGATTTGTAGAACCTTTTAGGCCTCTAATAGGTTCTGAGTATTAACTTTTAGTAAAGCTTCTGTAAAAGGATCCGTGCAAGAAAAAAATAGTTCTAAATCCCTTAGCAAAAGAGTTTTTGTTTAACCCAAACCTTTTTCAGGGTTTCAGCTGCCAGGTAAAATGTGGAACTCTTAAAAACCCTGAAGAGTCTGTACACCTCCTTTATTTTCTTCAGAGCAGAAGTTGCTTGCATCTGGTACCGACTTCACTTATGTTGAAACTACATATATGAGCGACTTATAGCAAGGCTTTTATGTTGACGAAAGTTTAGATCAAAATTTGACATATGATTTTACTAGGACACTAAATTCCTATAGGGCAACATTTCTAAAGCCAGAAGTTCCGTGCGAACTTCGACAAGAACATGAATCTTTTATTGAGTGTTCCTATCTGAGAGTACCCTATGGATGGGTAAAGTATAAATGTGAATGAAGCGTTTTCTCGTTAGTGGTATTACTTAAGGAGAGAAAAATCTTGTGAATACTGACAGAGTAAAAGGACTTTAGAAAGATGCTGCAATATCAAAAGACTTACGTTTGCTTCTTGTATTGATACGAATAATTTAGCGAGGACGAATGTAATACGTCGGTAATGTATCAGCGTTGTTTAATAAACAAAATGAAAGCATAATTTTGCTTATTATACATTTCGAAAAAATGTTTTGGTTGTGTGCATGCAACCGTACACATGGGATCAATCATAATCATATATTATTGAGACACACTGGGCTTTTTCCAACCAAAATGTTATCATTTTTTGCTTGTTCTATCACTTATCAATCGGACACCTTCAATAATGAAGAGAGATAAAATTAGTCAACGGTTGGGAAAATGTGCATTATATCACGGCTTTGTTTTTATTTTTCTTCCTATCGTTGCAAAGGATAAGTAAAGTATACAGGCTTCACAAGCAATAGTAGGCCGCTTTACATCGTCGATTCTGTTAAAACCGAGCTCAACGGTCCCTTCTGCCTACGATATAAGATTTTGCTTTCTACTGCTACTTTTGGAAGCATTTCCTGTTCATACACATGTTCCTCGTCAAAGATCGACATTCAGATCAAGTTTTTGCCTCAGGATCGTTTTTGATCCTCCCAGAAACTGGAGAGTCATTTTCAAGAGCTACCTCGACTACCATCATCATGTGTATTCTTGCTTTGAAGATGTGGATGTGGGGTAGATGTCGGTGTGGGTATGAGTGTGGGGGTCTATGAGTATAGGTTTAGGAGTCAGTCGAGTGAAATGCTACCCCCTACCCACACCCTACACTGTAAAAAAAAAGGTATTTTACCAAACTTTGTAGGTTTCGCTCTGACTTACGAAACTATTTTAAGTTCCATGGAATGGAAAAGCTTTCGTAGTCTTCATACTGAACCTTTTTAAGTTCCGAAAATCGAAGAAGGTTTTGAAGTTTTACTACAAAACCTTCTAGAAGTTCTGCGCATTGTTTACTGAACTTCCGGTGGTTTCGCATCTTTGGTACGAAACCGTTGACAGTTTTGTAGAGCATTTAAAGGTTCTGTATTAGTTCTACGAAGCCATTCATAGTTCCGTAAGTGCTTCTATAGTTTCGGATGCGCTATACGAAACTAGCTGTAGTTTCGTAAAAGACATACCGAACCGTTACATCGTTTACGAAGTTATGAATAGTTTCGTAAAATTTATACTGAACCTTTTGATCTTTTATGAAACCCCTAATAGTTTCGTAAAACAAACAAAGGTTCCGTGTATCTTATGCCAATCTATCAAAAGTTTCGCAAACTATCAAAAGGTTCGGCATGCATTTTACGAAACTTTTCGTAGCTCCGTAAATGATCTAATAGTTCGGTATATCTTTTATGAAACCATGGCTAGCTACGTAGAACTAATACGAAACCATTAGATATCTTACGAAACTGCTGATGGTTTCTTGACATATATACAGAACCTTCAGATAAATGACGAAACCCTTAATGGTTTCGTATAAGACATACGAAACTATTATAGCAGTTTCAAAAATATCAATGGTTTCGTAAAATGTCTCTGGAACCTTTGCAATACTTACGAAACTATGCATGGTTCCGTAAAAGATATGCCGAACCATTGTATCATTCACGAAACTATCGACGGTTTCGTGTCACATATACGGAACCTGTAGATGCTTTATGAAACCATCAATGGTTTCGTATATTGTATACAGAATCATAATAAAGGTTACGAAACCCTCAATAGTTCTGTACAATTTGTACTGAACCATTTTACTGCTTGCGGAACTAAAGATGGTTTCGCGTTTCATATTCGGAACCTTTATATATGCTGTGGAACTATCAGTAGTATCGTATAATGTATAAGGAACTGTAGTACAGCTAGCAAAACCACCAACAGTTCCGTACAAGTTATACGACACCATTTTACCCCTTACGACACTAACGACGGTTTCGTACTGTACAGGGTGTCACATAACCTTTGTCTCCCCCCCCCCTACGCCACCCAAGTGACAGATAACATCAGAAGGTTTTTATACCAAATTAAAGCCCGTGAAAAACTGCATCCATGGGTATACTTAGATTNCCGACACTCGAAGAAGGTTTCGAAGTTTTACTACGAAACCTTGTAGAGGTTCTGCGCATTGTTTACTGAACTTACGGTGGTTTCGTATCTTTAGTACAAAACCGTTGACAGTTTCGTAGAGCATTTAAAGGTTCCGTATGAGTTCTACGAAGCCATGCATAGTTCCCTAAGTGCTCCTATGGTTTCGGATGCGTTATACGAAACTAGGTGTGGTTTTGTAAAAGATATACCGAACCATTATATCGTTTACGAAGTTGGGAAGAGTTTCGTACAATTTATACTGAACCTTTTGATGTTTTACGAAA